CCATCACGATAATGCATAAACTGGCTAGCACTATGAAGCCTCCCTGAAGCGCATCCCATCATGTGATTTTCATGTGTTTGGTGGCAGTTTATGCGCATCCTCCTTTTCGATGGCTTATGTCAGGGCGGCGGCAAGTCAAAAAGCAAGCTTGCCTTTCAAAAGAAGCTGCTCAAGAAGAAGGCTCAGAAGGCAGCGCGCCTTGCATTCCCCCAAAGTGATGCTGGTTACTGGCTTGTTTGGCGAAGAAAAAACTAGTCGCACAGCACCTAGAGATACCGGTGCATGGCACATGCCAGTTTCCGGCCCGGCCGGAGCGACATCAAGTTGGGCGATATGTTACTTATACTGGAAGTTTGTTGGTATGACATGTGTGAACGTTGCGGCCACAGTGGCGGTAGGTTGCTTCTATGATTCTATGGGTCTAATGCCTCTTTTGAAGTGGATTGTGTTGTTCTTACGAGTAATTACTTAGTGTTGACTTGAGCCTGTTGCTGGATGAAGGGTGGTGGTGTTGAAGGTGGAGTTAAATTGGCTCGCTGGTGCCTACCCCTCGTTTGGCAGAGTGTTGAGATGGGATTCCGGGAGCAGGTGTATTCGGATTGTTCTTATGGATCGGCGGACCGGTTGTTGTGTAGCCTTGCCTGGCTTGTGCGAGTATGAGAGTCGAAACTCTTTCGTTCTGCGCTTTGGTCTATACTGACCACGAGGGGTTAGGATCACTCAGGCCGAGCACCAGTTCCCAGGTATCTTCTTATGATATGCCTTGCGTATGGAGCCGATGTCAGTATGCAGAGCAAGGTAAGACGGTTGTTGCGACTGAGCGAGGGTCCCACACACGATGCCCCAAATCGACAGGTCAGAAACGAACCATAAGCCATACTATAGGGGCTTGAATAATTACCTATACTATATTGGGGGCTCCTTATTATAATTATAGTATATAAATGTATATAGTATATAGTATATTATTGCCCCTACATTACCCAGTCCCCGACCCTAACTTCCAGAGCCTCCAGGCCGAGGCGAAGAAGAATGCTCCTTGGTTGCTCTCATAACCTCTGCATTGCAACGGGGCGCCTGCCACCCATTTTTGTCCGCGGTGATCGTGGTGGCACCCGTCAAGTCAGTGCCGGCCCGGCCGTTGTCAAGATCATCACATTTCGCAAGTACAGGGATCTTTCAATACTACTGACAGTAGTAGCGATGCCAACAAGACGAACAAAAATATATGAGACCATGATAGTGGTGGCCATCGAACCTAGGAGCAGCAGACTGCCCATAACTTCGAAGAATCTTGACCACATGCACTTTAAACCGCTCGTGTTGCTTCTTACGTTGTGCACACTGCCCTATCAAACTTGGGGCAGCAGAGCTGTCTATGGGTTTGTGATCTCACGGCATTGCTTGTGTGCATGTTTCTTACCCATTTGGGTTAAAGGCATCTGAGAGAAGCTGTGATCGCAACCCGATGACGACCCCTTCCTTGCTCCCTATGTACACATCCGATGTTTGCGTTTACACAGTGCAAAAGAGCCCTTCAATTGCTCCTTCCAGCTTCCTACACATTCCTGCTAACATGCTATATAGAGGCTTAGAGAGAGCCCCGCGGTTTTTACACAAAGGCCCAGCAGGAGTCCTCGGATGAAGAGGTTGACACCCAGGCTGCTGTGCTAAACTCATGTGCGGTTGAAGGCTAGCATTCAGTATCATTAACTTTGTGCTGCAACATGTGCCTCAAGCCCATTTGTTCAGGGGTGCGGTTGAGCTTTGGGAGAGCATTTTGGCTAGCTAGTTTGCGTCGGAGAGTTTGCGTTAGGGATTTGCGTCTAGTGCATGGTCTCAGGCACAGGGGTTTAGATCCACAGGAATCGTGCATCTGGGAACGGGCTGAGGCTGTCGGTTCAGGTCTGAAGGCTTGGGGTGCGAGGCTCTTCCAAATCATGTAGGACGGGCCTGCTTCCGTGCTGATGCAACCGCAACACCCGAAGCTAGCCAGGACATGGAAGACTGCAAGCAAAGAGCACCCAAGCCCCAGCAAAGATGAACCTAAAAGGTCCGAGAAAGGCCTAGCTGCCCCAACTTTGGATCCGTCAGGATGTTTTCTGGCGACCGACCTGGGACACACTGGGCCCTCTTCAGGAGCCGTGCCGAGCCTTTTTAGCTCCGACGCGGTAAGGGGAGTTGCTGGAGAACATGAGGGATTCACGTTGTAGTGCCTTGTAGGGCTCAAGTGAGTGTTCCCTCTTCATGATTTCCGTTTCTAGGGAGATGTGGCTTTACCACGCTTATATAAGCTTGGGAGTCTGTGCCCCTCTGTGAGCGCTGCTTGCCTCCGTCTGTTCTCTCTGCCGGCGACCACCTTCACGGGAGTCACAACCGTAGCCCACCGTCATGGGAGTAGTCATTGGACCGCAACTGGCACCAACGTGTGCCTAAGCCCTAAAGGCCCTAAATGCCCTGAACCCAGGAGGTGAAGGATAAGGGCGACATGAACCGCTTGGGTCGGAAGCGGGAGAAGGCAGCAGAGGTTCTCGTAGTCACTTCAGGATTATCGCCACTTTATCGTGTTGGTATCCCGTATTTATTTGCTTTTACCTCGGTGGGGAGTGGAGGTTTAGCCCCCGAGCCCCAACCTAGATACTCGGCTTGCTGCTACCGTAGAACTTTTCAAGCTCGAGCGACTGCCGCCATGCCGACTTAGTCACAAAAAGCCGCTTGCGACTGCTAGTGTTCAGCAGCATTTGTCGCAGACGGGCAAAGACGACTTTGGCTTCGGCGTGCCTTGGGCTGTGTCAGTGGTGTTTGCTTGGGGGTTGGAACTCAGGGCGTAGGGTTTCCTGTAAGTCATAAGTGGCGGCGGATCCTAGGCCGCAATCGTCCAAACATGTCCAAACGTTCGCCGCAGTCAGTGAGCCAAGAAGGGTTTGATAGTTTCAGGAGTTTTTAGGGTTTCGGGCCGAGGTTTCAGGCTTCCGGCTTAGCCTTTGCAACCGTTGCTGTTTGCAGGCATGAGTTTATGGCTGCCCTCGCTATGTTGCTGTTAACTTTTGACATGAGTTGAGTAGCTGGAAATTGGCAGGTGGTGGCTCATGGCCAAAGGCTTGTCATTCAGTCCAACCATGAATTGTTTGGTTCCTGTTGATTCTGCAACGCATCCACAGAAGTGGGGTGCGGGTTTTGCTGCTCGTGTGGCTCCTCGTTCGGCGCAGCACGACCAGAACATAGCCAGAATCAGAAGAGACGCTGGTCATCGGCCCCATGTCGGGGAGGAAACCAGTCGTTTTTTAATGGAGAAAGCACTGGAGTATGAGTTAGTGTTCTTTGGCCTTCATCGTAGCAATGGCCAACATTCCCACAATGCGACTTGTACCTCAGGCCTCCCCAGGATAGGCAAGGCGGCAAGACGCAGGGAGACAAGGTTTCTTCTCGTTCAGGGGCGGGTTGTTCGTCGTACGAGCAGTGCAGCACAAAATCATTCCAACAACGCCAGTGGAGATAATGTAAAGCTCCCGAGCTACCGTACCGTACAGGATAGAAGTGGCTTTCATGGTGAGGGGTTTATCATAGTGGACTAGATCTCTGACTTACGACCCCCATCCGCGAAACTGCTACTCCATACCAGGTTTTGCTGAACCGAGCACCCGTCCTACGATCCAAGAAGAGCCTGGAAGCGTGGGGGGCTCAAAGGGCTGAAAGTTCGACCCTAGCTGCAGTGAAGTGGGCGCAAAAGCTCCAACAAGGAAGCTCGAATCCCAGAGGCGATGACAGTGAGCCGATGTGAATACTGTGATGTGTGGAATGTTGCTGTTCATGAGTCTTCCGTGCTATCCAGTGCAAGTAGCCGTGTGACTCACCCTTCTTGGTTCCCCCTGCCCCTCTCAGTTACAGTGGTTGAAAGTGTGCCGAGGTCAAAAGAGGAGGCAGAAGCAACGGAGCCCGGGCAGAGCTGCCGAGTTGCACCGGGAGTGTATGGGGTGATGAGAGCTGTAAATGTGATAACTCATTTTTTTGGGAGGTGTTGCAAAGTCGTATGTGTTTGAAGAGTAGGTTTGCATGATGGATGCAGGGTGAGCAAAATCTGAAAGCTTTAATCTTCAGGTGTACTGCCGGTCATGCTTGCCGATGTACAGATATCCATGGTCAATGCTGTATTCGATTTGCTGAGACAAGCAAAGCTGATGTTCACGTCTTGTGTTTTATTCCCGCTTGCCAAAGCAGGCTGAGGTCTACCGGTCTAGAGTTGGAAATCCTTGCATGAAAATGGCAAGGTGGTTTTCGAGTAGCAGGCACGGAATGCTCGCGGGCTGGAACTGTCCCAAACCCTATCCCCAAACCGTCGAGAGTATTACTTCGTTTGAGTATCTTTAACATTTAATCATATCTAGACACTCCGACGATCGAAGGGGCCGCGAAACACCAACTGTGTCAAAAGCCTCTCCTGGTTCCATAGTGTTTGTGTTTGGGAGGCATGTCTTCGGGAACCCAGGCCGCCGTGCGAGAGCACAGAAGCGGAGGAGGCAAAGGAAGCTCCTCGCCTTGGAGGCACCGAAGTGATCCGAAGTGCAGTTCTGGGCTTTGGGATACGGAGGATGATACGGGTTGCGGCTGCAAGGTCGACGTAGGTCAGTCATATGGAGTGTGTTGGCAATGCTACAGCAGCAGCATCGACAAGATTCAGGAAACGAGATGGCAAGTTCACAGCACACAATTTGGTGCAAAACGTCTTGTTGCATGCTCATGTGCTGGTGTGTATAGATTCCTTGTTAACGGGTCCTTAAAATTCATGAGGACCTTTTATGTTCTATACCAGGATGCCCACTTGTGTGAAAGCAAAGTTGGAATCTTGTCAAATGCCGCCTGCGCAGCCCAGAGCTTCCGAGTCTAGTTGAAAGCATTTTCCTCCAATTAGCCTGCCTGCGGTAGCTTCGTGCGATCCGTTCCTCTTCACTTCGGTCTGCTAAACTTTTGACACTGTGATTTTGATACAGAAGAGACTTAGCATGGCGCGATCCTCGTCGGCAACGGTTGCAGCGCTGGCGAGTGGCTTGATTTGCTCACATGCGGCACTGGCTTGGAGGCAGAGCTCGCGGTGAATAGCTTTGTGCTAAGTCTCTAAGGACTCGCTGTTTAAGGCTTTTGGGCGATGTTGAACCTTATAGGGCTTATAGGGAGTTTTGATAAGCGGCAGTATGCCACGGCCAAAGCAGTCGACATAGTTTCTATCTCAATGACAAAAACCAGAAGAGTGCTACACACAGTATCCACAGCTCCAATATGTTGTTCTGTGATGCCCAGTGCCATAGTGACTGATGCCGTTCTCCCCGAAGCAACGGATGTTCTCGTTATGAACGGCCAACGAGTCTCTTCCGTTTTCGGTCTGTGTTGTCTTTTTGGGCATAGCACGTAAGAGCCGGCCTTGCATAGATCCTCTGAATCATCATCCTTGCGCATGTCTGCAAGTCCTATGGCCTCGGACTTCGCCGCCGCAGCGCTGGCAGCCCGCAACGACTTCCGGTGGCGGGCATTCGAGACATCAGGCAGGGTCTAGGCTCCAAGTCCTAGCGGCCTCAGGCGTTCCTTCAGGAGGCTTCCATGGTTCGCGTATCTTCGCGCAAGAGTGTCTCGAAGCGCAGCGATGCAAAGGTCGGGGATGCTGCCCTGCTTTGTAAAAACTCCATCTGGCTTGACAGGCGGCATCTTCGTACCGTGAACCGTCCCTTCAGTCTGCTACAGTACTTGTACCAGGTTTGCTGATGGCTTCTGGTGCATCCGATTAAGGTTTGGGGCTTGTCGCAAACAGCCACGTAATCGGAGGCCGCCTCAGTGCTGGAAGCATGTCCGTTTGTTCCAGGCCCATCTCTCTAAACACTCAGCGACAGGATACCGTTTTCCTGACGAGACCCACTTCGACGAGCTGGACTGGTTCCTCGGATTTCCACAAAGGGGGCACCGTCAGTTTTTTTCCGCAGGAAGAGCAGCCGCTTCCCGGCTGATGCACTTGGGAATTTCCGGTTGTGAGGTCAAGACCAGTCTCTGTTCTTCGGTGACCTTACGTTTTGCATGCGCACCTGGTGCACACGTAAGTGGCACGATGTAGATGTTGCTGGCAAAGCCCCCTCGCGGGCTATGAGAACACTACTCACAGTACTTCCGCAATCCTTTCCTGAGGAACACAGGCTTTGCAGAGCTTTGGCTGTATGCTCTGCGTGCGGCTCGTTTGGCACTGCCGTAGCTTGTCTATTTAGACCGTTGGGGTTGGATAGTTCAGGATTGACCAAAGAGGTGACGGAGCTGGTCATGTATTGGACGTTGATTGAAGTTGGGAAGAGTGTAGGAAAGACAGGCTCTCTCGGGTGCAGGGTGCAGCAGGTTCACGAACGATTGCATCTTGTAATCTTGTACATTTTGCTCCTGCAGTTTCCTAGTAGGGCTCTGCATAGCGGCCTGCAGCATTCTTCGATCGAGTCTACAGTGGCTTACGACTTCGACTTCCAGCGTAGGAGTCAGTCGAACCCATTGCCCTCTCCCTGATGCCCGGGCAGGAACCAGATTACCAGCTAAGGCCGTAAGCAATTTGCAAACGCATCTTCATGCAAACTCATCATTGCCTCGGGACCCGTGCCTTTCGCCTGAGTGAAGCCAGAATTCCAACAACGTGGCTTAGTACTGCCACTTCGGTTTGAGGGAGTCAGAGACGCAAGGGATACTGGAGATTTGCTCAGAGCAGGCCTTGCCACTCAAAGGCTTCAGTCGGAAACAATGAGCCGTGTAGATCGGATCCAGGGAGTCTGCTGGCGGCCTGCTGCGGGCAGCAAAGGAAGTGCGCATAGTGCGAAGTGAGAAGCGACTGCACCGGAGCTTTGTGGCCGCAGGCTGGGTAGTCTGAGATGTAGCTACTGGTAGTAGGCTTTGAAGGATGATGGCGAGCAGATTCTTGAAGTTTCCTGTAGGAGAGCAAATTGCTCTGAACATACGTTCGGTTTTTTCGCTTGGGACTGAACTTGTTCTGAACCGCCGAAACTGTGTTCGAGGTTGCTCGAGGTCGGGTCACTTATATTACTCGCGAGGCTTTAATGAGAAGGCGATTGTACCTCGGGTGGGCACACTCGGTTGGAGGATTGCATTCAGCTGGTGCCGGCTGGTGCTGATTATTTATCATAGGTTTGCTATTTCCGGATTCCTGCTTGATATTACTGTATGGGTTATGCTCGGAATGTAGCGACAAGGTGACTAGATTCTGGCACGAATAAGAGCAGATGCTTGTGCTGGCTCCTGGATCCTAGTCTGGCTACCTTGGGTTCTTCAAGTCGCAAGCAGGCAAAACTCAATCCATTTTCGGAGAGCATACCTTCACCCCACGTCACGGCAGCACCAACAAGAGATTGGTTCGTTTAATATCTGTGAGATCAGTATTCGCGATTCGCTTCTTACACAACAGCGAGAAGATCTCACGGTCACCTTAAATGTGGCAGGCAAGGCTTTCGATCGCATTGCCGAGAAGTTGCGGCAGCTCGAAAACGCGACCCTCGCCTTTGGATATCGTCCGTGGTTTGGCTTGCGCAGTGCATTCCCGAGGCCTCCTTAGACTCGACAAACCCCAAGAATCTGCACGGCATGGGGCTGGGGGAAATTATCTAGTAAAAAAGATGTCTGGAGTCGAGGTGTTGTCTTGAGCCCAGGACGGTTGAAGACCGGACGATACCGGATAACTGTGAGAAGCAAAACCCGACTTCATGGGTTAAAGTTGCAGATCCGTGTTCCAGGCTCTCAGACCCTCGCATGTCCTTTGACAGCATCCTGCACTTCTCCTCCAGTGTGGTAATTTTTGACATCATTTGATGTCGTGCTACAGGACGCCCAGTGTGGCACCCGAAACCTGCACGCCGGCATCGTCGACGGTCAACAGATGCCCATCTTGGTTTTGTTTCACGTGCACATATGTGCACATCATCAGTTGCTTCTTCGTTGGAGTTAGCCTGGCATCATGTGGGCCCGGCGTCTGACGATGTGGGAAGCTTTTAGAAGCCCTTAATCTTGTGTTCGGCTCAGTTACAGCATCTTTCGAGACTCTCTCAGTTTCTCGGAATAGAGCCTGCAACTTGTTTGCTTGCGCTGCCTTATGCGATTGGTGCAAATCGCGGCTTTGTCGATGTGAGTAGGAGATGGAATTTCGCATGATGCAGAAGAGGCAATCTTCGGGTCCCCCACGAACTTGTACTTGCGGCCCCGGGATCGCGACACAGCGATCTGGAAGGATGCCTTAACAACACATGTATGAGCTACACAAGCTGTGTGCCGCGCGGGGCCCTGATCATAGCGTGAATTTGGTGTGCATGCTTTGGCAGAGTTTTGCAAGTTGACGTGTTGCTCTCTGATCTCACTGACCTCTGCTCGCTCTAAGCCTTGACGCAAAAACATCCAACCAATCGATGCTAGCCCTTCGGAACGGTGTTCCATGGCCTGTGGAGGCTTGGCTCCGATGCTGCTGTGGATGTCATGATCTTCGGTTCGATAAGCCGATAGTTCCTCCACCCGAAGCCTCACCGTAAACCTCGGACCTGGGACCCGACCTAGGTAAGTGCTACGTCGAATCGTTCGGGCATGTCAACAACTTCTACCGTTTGCAAAGCCACAGAAAGAACCATTTGTCGTTTCTCACTTGTCGTGTCTACTCATGACATGATTCCATGCAGGAAACCATCGGTTGCCGCAGAGCGTAAGGTTGTACCTTACCCTCTTGCTTTGGCAAGGAAGTGTCCGCCTCTCCAATGACCTTCAGATGCCAGTGCTGGGATTGGGCACAACTATGCTCAACGGTGCGTCTGGGAAGGCGGCCAGCACACACAGTGTGATCACGGACACTTCTATCTTGTAACAGGTAACTAGCCCTCCGCCTTTCAGGCAAAATGACATACGTGCTAAATTCCACATTCATGCGACATGCCGCTACGGTTGAGAGAGGTACAAAGATCGGAGTCAACCACTGAGGTGTAGCCGGTTCCCCAAATGTGCATGTCTGTATGCCGTACTCTATCCATGCTCAGTCACGCGGAGAAGTGCAGCAGCAGACGCGGGCGCGTAGACACAGAGCGAAATATTACACAACAGAGCGTGCACAGAAATGGCTGAAGATGTTCATGAGCCTGCATCAACTCTGCTCTTGATAATGTAGTGGCACCACTGAAAGCCACAAGCAGGAGTCTACAATGTCTGCCAGTCCTAATCCGCCCTCTCGCCCTAGAGGCCCTAGAGTCAAAGTGGATGTCCATTTTTGGCAATGCCAGTTAGTTTAAAACTTTCACTTATAGATCCCAACCAAGAAGCCCTGGCCCTTGGCTGCTTTTTCGAACCGAGCCAACTTCGCCTGCAAGTCCGAGTGGGCCCTGTGCCTGGATTGCCCTCGGCGCGAGAGTCCGAACCCTAAGCCTAAACCTTGCACCCTCAAGGCATGGACCCAGCTACTCGACCGCAAATTCAGCCTGTACTTACCTGCTAACTGCTAACGCTTCTGCTGGTACCACCCTTGTGCTCCGCACGAGACCTTGGGACCTCATCTGGCAAGTGCGAGTTCTGAGAGTGACTGTAGATCGCTCGGAAGAAGCCTAGAGTCCGACCAGGAGGCCATCCTCGCGGCGCTCCGAGAAGGCTACCGACTCATAGACACGGCGCAGGCCTATGAAAATGAGGCCCGGCTCCAGGCTCCAGGTGAGGTTTCAGGTTCAGGCGCTTCAGGGAGGTCTGAGTCGGAGTTGACTCAGAATTGTCTGGTTTGTGATGTAGAGGCCTCAGGGTTTGTCCTTCTGATGTTCCCGGCTGCAGCGGCGACCCCAATCCCCAAACCCAAACACCTCAACACCCCCGCGAAGCAGAGGCCGAGGTCGGTGAGGCCATCCTCGAGCCGGGGTCCCCAGCACACGAGCTCGAAAGTCCTTAGGCGGATTAAAGAAACGGTGTGTGGGGTTTAGGGTTTAGAACTCAGGGTTCAGTGTTTGCGGTGGTGGGGGTACGATTGTTGACTTCATGATCATTGGGGTCATGACAATGCGGCTATTGCTGCCAGGTATATTGGCTACGACCGACCAGGCACTATTGTGTATGTGCATGTGTAAAAACATGTCCTCTGGTGGTTGAGAAACGGCCAAGGTCCGGCATCCCTCGCTCAGAGATCTTCATCGCGACGAAGCTGTCGGAAGAATCTCGGTTCCGGCACGGAGGAGGTTAAACTGCCGGGGTGGATTTAATGATTCAATGCTGGCCGGGGTATCGAGCCCTGGGTGCAAAGGAGCCAGCTTGCCAATCCCTGCGGTACTGTAGTCGGCCGAATGCAGCTTTTAATCTGAAAAACGCCATTGGTCAAAGTTATATAGTGATCAAAGTCGACACCGAGGCCTGGTTCATTCTGTCAGATCCATTGCTTTAAGCTTCCTTAAGGGTGCTTGCTGTGTCTCGGACTTGAAGCTGATGGGAGCTATGACCAGGAGAGTCGGAGCGGGCTTGTACTCCCTGCTCCGACTTCGAATCGTGACACTGGCTGGGAGAAGGAGGCTCTCATGCACTGAAACTTGTACCGCTGCATCTCAAGAACTCCAGACTGGACGTCTCTTGAAGTGTTTTGTCCCTGTCAATCCATATCCCCGAGCCCCGCAGATGTAGATGCTCCGTGCGACTCAGTTGTCTTTTTGAAATCGTTGCCCCGGAACCAAAGGATGGCGATTGCAAGCCCGGAAGGGCGAAAGCTGCTCGGAAAAAGTCCCATCACATGCTGCAGGTGTTAGAGGCTGTAGAATTTGTGTCTCACTTTGACATAAACCAAGTCCACGATGAACAGCTGCGTGGTTTCGGAGTTTGAGTAGTTCGGGCTTCATCTCTGAGCTCTCAGTGTGTGTGCGTGCGTGCGCGTCTTGGTTTCTTTAATAATCTCCTGGTCGGCATTGAGTTGAAGACTTCGACCTTGCATGGCACTAGGACCTCAATAAGTATTGAGCATCCATCAGCTTATAGACGAGAGCCTGGGCCATGAAGCCTGGAAAGAGATGCAAGGCACGTGTTCAGGCGCAGCTGAAGCTGCTGAAAACGAGCTACGTTGATCAGCGCCTTGTCCTGGAATTTGTCCTCATTAATCATGGTGCGAGGTTGTTCCGATCCTTGCCCAATCTCTTCACTACCAGTGCTAGCAGCGCGATTTTATGGGTTTGCTTGTGGTGGCATCGATGCTCTCAGCAACCATCCGGCCCATCCATGTTTAAGCGCACCGCGTGAGAAAGATGCAAGTCTCTACGACAGGCGTACTCCCGACCCCACCTTTCAACCGCATGCTACTGTGTATGTCCTTTCTAAGATTCTAAGCCGTGGTCTGAAGCTAATTTTCGGTCGAGTCTAGTGTCAGTACCTGCGCCTGGGAGGGCTAAGGACATGTCATTTTATGCTGTGGTTCCTATCTTCGCTCAGCTGGCAGATAATCCTGATCATGGTTGAGCGATCCCGGTGATCAGGCTCATCATCGTCATGGCCATGCCTGTGGTTCTTCTTGTTCGACATGGGTTGGTACTGCTGCGTTGCTGTTTTCTCTGGACTCTCGTATGCTATGCCTATGGCATTATGAGTCCGTCCGTTGGCGGCACGTGGATTGTTGTAGAAACCATTACAGCTATGACCGTGACGGTTCCTTCCAAGGAATATTTAGTTTGGAAAGTGTTTCTGGTCATCGTTGTTGTGCTCACGACAACATCATGACTCGTATTGGACACAGCAGAGCAGCAGCAGCTGCAGGAGCATCTTCCATTTCCACGAACTTAGCCGTCTCGTTACATGCTCAAGCTTGCCAGCTTGCTGTAAACACCTCAGCAGGTACATGCTCCATGGACCGTGCCCTGGCGTGGTCGAAGCTTGGAAGGCTTGTAAGCATTTGGCACTTTGGCTTTGTTCAGGGATGCAGAGAGTGTAGTCTTGTTGGCGTGGGGGGTTTGGGTGCGGGGAAATCTGCATGCTTTCGTGAGCCATGCACTGAAAGTAGCTACACCTGTAAACCAACAGGCCCGGATTGTTTGGCCAGTGAAGTTATTTCGGGAGTTTGGGCGTTGAGGCTTGGAGTTTCAGACATGGTGCTCCACATTCTTCAGGCAAAGATTTGCATCTGCGGGGCCGGATCCGGCTGGTGTCACTTGAATCGTCAGCCGTTCCCGAGTTCACAAGTCGTTTGGATGGTCTCCAACAACCCTTGCTTGATCCGATTGGCTAGCGGTTTGCGCGGTCGCAACTTGATAGCTGAATCCTCGGTCCAGAAGCGCAGAAAGGCAAGCCTGAATGCAAAAGAGCGACGATGCTGTGGCAGGATCTCGAAGAACTGTACAATGCCGGCGTGCTGCGATCCCTTGGTGTGTCAAATTTCGACTACACTCAACTGCCCCTGGGGCGAAAAGTAGCCCTGTTTCGGGTGTGGGGGGTTGGAGATTTCATGGTTTGACCTCAGCAGCTCAGCACTGTCGCTCCCGTTTGAGCCACACGTCCTTCATTCCATACACACCCGTGAAATCCTTCTGGGTTGCAATGTTGCAGGGGTTCAATTTTTAGGCCTTTCCGTTTCCCTCCGAGGATTGGGCTTCTAAGCTTTGTTCCTTGCTGAGGGCTTGAGGGAAAGGGGATTGCTTCATATGGACAATGCATAACCACAGATTCACCCGAACCCGCAAAACCGATGTCGCAGTGATTGTGCCTCTGGTTGCGGAAACCCTGAACCCGCGACTTGCACTCGTGAAACGAAGCTCCACGGCAGCCAAGGCAACGTTTCTTGGGGCAGGTTCGCATCGCACCACACGTCGTGCAGAACAAGCTCTCTGCCGTTATTATGAATTGATATGGGCACACCGACGAATTTTCGAGGATGTTGAACGTTTCAGCAGCAGCTCCGGAAAATACCGAGGCTTCCAAAGCTTCGGAGGTCCTAGCATAGAAAAGCCAAGCCGAGCATGACATTATCCGGGAAATTTTGTGACGGAAATTTGGCGGGAGGAAATGGCAGCCGACAGTGCACTAAACCGACGTCTCACTTCAACACATCCTGGACCTTGGCAGAATCAACACTATTCTTAAGTTCGTTAAGAAGGAAGTTGCTTGTCCCAAAGCGGGAAGCTCCATACGACTCCTTGATGCTCTCTCGGGGGCCCGGGGCCGACTGTAGTTCCAGCCTGGCAGCATACGTTGCCTACTTCGGTGTTCTTTCTCCGCTGAACATGGATGATCTGTGGAACTGAGGTTCTCCATCTACCACCGTGGTTGGGCTCCTGTGGATCCTCTGAGGGCCGCTTGGCTTAGTGTTCAGGGCTGTGGCACTACGGTGTAGGCGTTCCGAATCTCTGCGTTTTCTTTCGCCCCTGACCTTGAAACCTACCTCTAAGTTTACAATGTTTCGATTCTTAAGGCTGTTTTTGCTGATCAGCCTGTCGGCATTGCCTGACGGCATGGTCGTTCTATGTACATACATGCACGCGCACGTGCACACGTATACCTACCTACCGACTGACCGACCGACCGACCTACAGAATCCTACATACATACATGCACATATACGTACATTAATCTATGTACATATCTACTGCCATTATATGTGCAAACGAATAAGTACATGGGTGGACATAGCCGTTCTTGCATCGCAGGACCTCGCCCAAGCTCTTCGCAAGGAGGGGCTGGTTTTCATGGGCTATTGCAACTTGGATGCGTGTCTCGGCTGTGGCAGGGCTTGTGGGTTTGCGGGTTTGCGCGTGTGGGGTTGAAGGGGTTTGACTCCATGAGGACGGCTTCATCTAGGCTCTTCGGGACGAGCCAGTGCAAGGGAAGCGTGCCTTTTTTCATACCTTCACTGCGCAGCGCGTTAAGGCTTTACCAGGTTGGTTTTAGTCTCTGCTGTCCGCGAGAGAGAAAGAGAATTACACCGTGCCGGTACCTGCTGGTGCCGTACTGCTGCACTGAAGGTATCCACACGTCTTGCAGCCACTGGAAGACATTTTTGTCCGGAGAATTGCTTCGCGCTGTGGGAGAACGACTGCTCAGGCATGCGGGGTGCTTTCTTCAGCCCGAGAACGTTTTAGGTGGATGATGCACGTGAGAAGGTTGATTGTGTCTGGGGGTCTGGCTGGTAGCAGTGTGGACCGCAAGAATGCAGCGTCAGCTGGAAGAGAGGGTCTGAGTGAGCAAGAGAGCAAAAGGATGGAAGGATGAAGCGTGATCATTCAAGTGCTGGAATCCGATGTCAGGGTGAATTCAAGAAGATAGTTCGATTCGACTTTGAAACCTGTACTTCTGCTGAGCCACGATGATGCGGTTCACGTCCAGGGTTGGTTGTCTCTGCGATTTCGCTTGAGACCATGGCTGTCTGTAGCTGCCACGGCAAATTGAATGACCCGCAAGGCTGAGAAGTAGACAAACAGTCGTGGGTACAATCGATTCAGGTCCTGCTGCGCCATGCTCTTCAGCACGGCACGGATACTTGGACTAATCCTTCCAGCAACCATCACCCTCGGTATTGCCTCGCCGTCCTTTTCTCTGTGCATTAAACCGCCAAGCTGGCCTTAGATACCATCCAACCTCAAGACGTGACCCAGGTGGTCATCCCCAAGTCAGAAAGGCCGGAGCGCCTCAGGGAGCATCTTGGCATTGACCTCCCTAATGCGGCTTTAGCTTGCAGGATCATCGGGCGACCCAAGACCTGGGGTTCAGTTTATCGGTGATCCTCATTGACCCTGACAAGGAATGCAGATATTTTCGACTTCGAACTGTCGCCTGAGGACATGACGCTTGGCATCATGCGTGCAGGTGTAATCAGTTGTAAGAGCATTGAAGGAGGCCAGCACGGCTGACAGCACGACGATGGTCACGAGCGAGAAAGCATTTATTGTCGCTTCTCTCCTGGCCGTAAAACATCATCGGATGATCTGGGATAATGACAGTAACTGACAGGGCCCTACGATTTTTCTACGTAGGCTGCAGCACAGGGTTCTCCTGCACTGGTTCGGAAGTCTGAGGATCTCCTTCTCCACTTCGTAAGCAAATGAAGGCATTCTTCGGCATGCAAACCTTGGCTTCTCAACCTGAACCTCTCCAACCCAGAGTGGTTGCGCGAACCCGCACGACACATATACGCACGCACAGACACAGACACAGACACAGACACACAGACACACAGACACACAGACACACGGACACACAGACACGCAGACACACAGACACACACACACACACAGACAAACCGCGGGTCCCGGCGAAACTCTGGACTGCACGACTCACCGTCAGTTGAAGTTCGGAAGTATCACCAAATCAGCCAAGACGGTAGCAGATCTGTTGGTGCCAACAACAGCTTGCAGCAGTTACTAACTATGTTGACATGCAAGTGCGCGCGAGGAAGGAATGGAAGAGTGAGGCAGCATTCGTCTGGAGCAAAGCAGGGGTAGTGACATCAATAGCTGTGGCAGTCGTCGTCGTATAGCCACGGTGCTAGTGGTACTTGTAACAGCATTTGTTTGTGTCTGCTGCGTATACGTACTAGCCAAAAAAAAACAACTGCAGCAGCAGTGGCCAGAGCAACGACCAAGCTGAGAATCAGGTCTCGGACGGATCCCGAGTCACAAAACCAAAAGGCATGTCGCAGTTGGCCTGCAGTGCCAGTGGTGAAACGCTGGGAACAGGAATGAAGGCGGCTGTCAAGGTTTTGGAAGACAGGAATCATATACTTGAGAAGCACCTAGTCGGGACCTGTTCGGGCCGCGAGAGCACCCGGCACTGCTGAGGCGGATCCTGGATGCCCTGCCAATGTTGGCGCACCACGGACGAGAGCCCAGACCCTTGAAGCAACAGAAATCCAGGTTTCATTGTTTTTATCAGACGGCACTGGCCACCAAATTCTTAATTTTCAAGTTGAACCTCCGAACCTCCTGACCAAAAGCCGCGTGCGACAAGCAAGACAAGAAGAACCTACGTCCGAGGCTATGTCGAGGATCTGTTCGGCTTGAGGAATACGGACGAGCACTCCGCAGAGCTGTAGCAGGACAGGCCGAGATGAAACATTGGCCACAAAAGCTGCCAGTTGTGGCTCGCCCTTCTCGCTCTTTACTGGGTAGTTTCCCCTGCGTGAGCTTTGCTGTTCAAAGGACTTGCCTGTCCGTGGATTGCATCGGGACCGCCATCCATTGCAGACCGATGGACAGAACTTGGAGGGCTTCACGACCCAATTGCATTCTGGAAGTCCAGACTGGAGGTTACCACGATATGGAAGCAGGCTGCACCTGCAGGAAGGGTCGTGCTCTTGCTAGCTGCTAGCGGGCCTGGACGAAGCGAGGCTGATCGGCAGAGACATCCGAGATCGTTGGTGGAGTTGTCGCGATGGATGCCGCTCATCGCGACCAGCTCTCACTGCACACACGTCGATGATCACAAGTTGCTGCCCGATGTGAGAACAAATCAGACTGGCTCGATTCTCGGTTGGCGTCGTGCCGAGAGACACTGCGAAGTACAGGTGGTAGGTAGCGGGAGACGCGAAGCGCCTTGAATAGAATCCACATGAAAGTACCACCAGCACCACTACCACCCCACACACACATCCACGAAGAGAGCGCTACCAGCAGCAGTTGCTCTGAGAACAGCATTGCACAACCCGTTGCCAGCAGTGCGATTTACCTCTCACTCCAGAAAACCGGCTTTCGGAACTGTACACTTTGGAACCCAGGCAGCCAGCAGCTGCGACGGCAATAACTACATTTACACAAATATATGAGTATGAATACAACATAATAATACATACGCACATCTGCATAAACAAACAAATGTTCACATATATACTGGGTCGAAGTGGTTTATTGGCCCGCAGGCCCAGAAGATAACCCAATCGCGCTGTGCCTTGCAGAATCTGCAAGATTCATAGATTTGGTACTTAACTATCTATAGTTCTGTAAGCTGTGCCCGGAACACGAAACGCGAAGGCACGCTCGTATGAATGTATACATCTTGAGCCGTCCTTGAGATCGAAAATCATCCAACTGCGAAGGTACACTTGCAATTAGATATCATGAATAGTGTGCAAATGTGGATGGTTGTATGTGTGGCTGCCAACATGTCAAGGTTGGCTTACCTCCCCCACGCCTCCGAGCCGAACAAGGGCTTATTAGCTGATTATGCATAAGCCCAATATATTCCGTAGGCCAAATACCCCATATCAAAGATGGTGCAGGGATTAAGGTTGTTCCACGGGTTTTGTGTTGGTGAAGGACGCTCATGCGGCTGCGATCTTGCCTCCATGAGTAGTCGGTCAAACAGTCTTGGGCTGTGTCCTAGAACAGGGGGGTGCGCTTGCGCACTGCTTGCACGAAGCTTGCGCGCGGCTTACGCGCATCTCCCCATCAACCACACATTTTTGGACGCGTCATAACAGAGTTTTCCCGGTAACTGGTGTTTCCAAATGAACTGGTGTTCCTGGGTTTTGGTTGGCTATGCCTGCTATGGTTGGAGCCTCGTCTGCCCCAAACGATGCCGTAACAGATCGGCTCCTGCAGTACCCCAAACAATGCCGCAACAGATCGGCTCCTGCAGCACCCCAAACAATGCCGCAACAGATCGGCTCCTACAGTACCCCAAACGATGCCGTAACAGATCGGCTCCTGCAGCACCCCAAACAATGCCGTAACAGGTCGGCTCCTGCAGTACTCCAAACAATGCCGTAACAGATCGGCTGCTGCAGTACCCCAAACAACGCCGTAGCAGATCGCACTGCGTTGAGTGGGTACCATAACATCAGTCGATTCTGCCTGTGCCTTGCGGGAAGCCTCTACAAACCACATATGTCTTGAGAGTTTGGAGCTAGTCCCGCGTGGTACTCTGCAAGTAGTGGTGAGGTTTGTGGACGCGTTGAGTCGATACCTTAACATCCATCAATTCTTGCTTCTACAAACCATACATTCTCTTGAGAGTTCCGAGCTTCTCCCGCGTGGCAATCTCCAAGTAGAGGTAAGTTTCTTGGTTAAGGCGGCATGTTGTGAGCCTCGTGTGCCATGGGGTTTGGGGTTGTGGGCCATCTACTTGACATGTTGGGCTACCCGCTGTGCCATGGGGTTGGGCTATCTAAAGGGTGTTTGGGCTATGAAACCACGCGCGCTCGTGTATATATATATATATATGTATGTATGTATGTATGTATGTATGCAGAGAGAAAGAGAGAGACACACATATATGTACATAGATACCTATACTAAGTGTCTGTATATGCATATGTGTATATGTATATATATATATATACACATGCATATGTATATATACACATGTATGTATGTATGTATGTATGTATGCATGCATGCATGCATGCATGCATGTATGTATTCTGTGAGCGCCTGTGGGCGCCAGAAGGACTACGGGCAGAGCCTGTCGGGGGATAGCAGGCTGAACTTTCATCGGGGCTACAAGGACATGATGATACTCGTAGTGTCTATTCAAACCCCTGTGTTACGTTTGATGCTTCATGCTGTTTAATTACTGCGTTGCCCGTCTCTTTCCTGTCAGGCTAGACAAAAGTGTGTTTCCCATCTTACTTGCATCCCACACGGGTTCTATCTCCTTCTGTTCCGCACGTACTATGCCTAAGGTAGCGTAGCACTGCTAGCGGTAGCACTGTATTGAAGTACTTGTGCGCTCAACCTGCCAATAGACTATTTGATAAAAAGGCAATTATTTAACATATGATGTCTAATGTATACTTCATACTTCCAACATTGGGTCCTGTTCTCGAGCCCTAAACTGTGAACTTTACCCCTGAAGCCTCCACTCCACCCGTGCTGCCCAACGTGGTCCTGAAAAGCTCTCACTTAGAGGCGCCTGAGACGCAGTTGGCCCTGCCACCGGTGGAAGAGGCAGCAAGGATTCGAAGATTCAGAGTTCAGGGTTGGTCAGGCTATTAATTGGTCGAGCTCTAAATCGCTTGGAACGGCACCGGCCATGGTTTATGGAAGATGGTTTGTTTTGACAGAAACCGGGCAAGCCCATAGCCCAGTAGCTCGCTGGTCGTTCGGTGTAGCCCAATGCCTCAACTGAAACTGCTTTGCAACCGCTCCGTCTTTGGAACAAACCTTAAACCCAGCCCAGTATACCATACCCTAGCTGGCCCTAGCCTTCTGCACCCTGCGCACTGTCGATGTTGTTCTGCCGAGACATAGTCAAGCAATGCAAGCTCGCAACCCCGAGTCTTCCGCAACTGTCGAGGCCACGGCAACAGCCGAGGAGCCGAAGAAGCCGGTGACTTGGGCTGCGGGTGTTTGTATTGGAGTTGATGGTTTCGGTAGTTAGTTGGGCTTCTGCCGTCATGGTGTTGTTTTCGTTCAGGAGATATTGTATGGGGCTACTGTAAGAGGCGCAAGAGAGAGCCTCTTGCGCCTCCTTTTGGCAGCAAAGGTTAGATTGAAGAAGCAGCGGAGGAAGCTGGCAAAGAAGGTCGTGAAGGCAGGATCCTTGGAAGATGTTTCAGCTCGGTCGTCTGTGTCGTAGAGGAGATGGACATCACGCTTTCCTGTCCGTGATGACGCGATACTGGGACTTGCAAAGGATCCCCTACCACGAACTATGGACCCGGTCCTATACCTCAGTCTAGTTTGTTCAGGGTTGCTGGGTTGTTCAAGCCGAACAGTATTGGGGTTTCAAAAAGGCTTAAGAGCAGCGGCACTTGGGTTTTGGAAGCTGCAGAAGAGACCTGTATGCGTCAATAGTCACTCCTTCGGACGCACTGGGTGACAGCTTGCACTTGACCTGTCTCATTCCATTCGGCGGCCATGGCTCTGCGGGATCTATTATCTTATGCAGGTCCATGGTTTCAGAACCAAGTCTTCCAGTCTTAGTGGCTCTGGTGTCTGGCTATCTGTGCGTCGCTTTCGGGCCGAGCTTTATTTCCTGAAGTCATCGAACGCCCTGAAGCCCAAGACTTGCCCGCTGACTGAGCCCAAAGGCGAAAGCAAGCCTCAGAGTTCAAGACCCGCAAAAGCCTGGACATAAAGAGCCGAAAAGGAGAAAAGCAGAGATACTGAAATCCGACAATCAAGTCGCAGCCCAAACCGTCAAAGTCCCACGTCACGATACCAAAACCTTTTTCTCTCACCAGTTTCCCTGAGAGGACACCTGACTGCCACTTCGTGTGCGCACAGCTTCGACTGCCAGAAAAGGGTGCTGAAGCAGATCACGCACGATCGCACTTGGAAGAGAGAGCGAGGCAGTTCGAGACTTGGTGCTGCGGCTCCTGGATCGCAGAGAGGTAGCAAGGTCGCAACCTTCCTCTCCTTCAGCATGTGTAGTAGTTCGCAGAAGGCGTACGTAGCCGGCTGCCCTCCCAGCGCAGGTGGAAGCCCTCCACAAGGCATGCATCGGCGAACTACAGGTGGTGGTTGAGGGTTTAGGGGGATTCAACATCCGTGAGCTTGCAAGGTTCAAAGTCAGGAGATGGGTGTTGGATTTGAGTCTGCGAGTTTGCGAGGGTTTGTGAGGCCTAGGTTGTAGGTGCTCTGCGGTTTTGGAGACCATTTGAGGATGTAAACTTTTGGGATTTATTCAAGGGTCTTCTGCAGCTTTCGGTTTATAGTCGTGATTCTGGCAAGCCCTGGAGGCCCTAGGCCCTAGGCACTCATGCCTCGCGTGTACACATCCTAATCAGCCGGAGTTGTTCGCTTCAAGGTGGACTTGTTGAACATGTTTGCGGATTGTAGGGCTGATGTTTGTCGAAACATTCGAGCTGAATGTTCTTGTCCTCGTCGCACTTGCTAGGCTTGGAGTAACGGTGACGAGACAAGATTTTGATGCGGGCCACGCCCACTGACCACGTCCGCAGCAGCACCGCCTGCAGCATCGCAGTGTTTACCTGATCTCGAGTAAAGGCTTCTCTGCATCGCGAACTCCAAGTCAATCGTCACATCGTTCTTCTAAGGAGAGAGGCTCTTTCAAGTGTGTCTCTGGTGGACAAAGCCAGCTAAACGGTCGTCGTGGTTAATCCTGCAGTTATGCTATGGTGACTACATCTCT